CCCCCCCCCCCCCCCCCCCCACACACACACACACACAATCATATAGGAGCACTCTGCCTTAAAATTCAATACAAACCAATGTGCAAAAATGAACATGATTGAAATTAGCTTATATATTGTCGCTGGAACAAAGTAATATAAATAGTGTTATGGTGACGACTTTGCAATGATCAATAAAATTCTGGAGTGTCTCATAACCCAATCAGGTGTTATGGCGACCATATTGGTTTTATTTATGACAAATGGGACGATGAACCTTCCATACACACGCGCACACACACATACACACAATTTCAAGTGTTTGAATATGCTGACAAAGTAAATAATTCAACATTTTGTGAGCTAAACCAGTGGAAAACAAACAAACAACCCCCCCAAAATAATCTCTCATTACCGTATGCACTCAACATATTTCAAAAGCGGGAAACAATAATAATAAAAATGCTCCAAAGTGCATTGGGGGTGTGTTGTTTTCTTTCCGCGCACTCACACTCCTTAAAAACAAAATGCATGGAATTCTTCCATTTCAATCCCAAAACATAGCTGCATTAAGGCTGCTCTTGAAATATATATATATACTTTTTTTTAAAAAAAGAAATCATAACATTGTCAGCTAATAATAATACATTTAATAATAACATAAAAAAATAACTTTGAAAGTCATTATATAAGTCTGAATGACTGACGTGTCAGTCACGTGTCTTGTCAGAGTTGTGGATCGCTTGGTCGAGGCAGAGAGCCGCTGCCCTCGAAGACCAACGGGAGGAGCGGCGCCACGGCGCTCCGACTCGGCGATGTACGCCGGTCGGGGTGGCTCTCGGTGGTGCCGGGCCTCACGTTGGGCCGCAGAGGGAGGAAGCCTTGGTCCTGGAAAATATCCCCCAAGTCATAATCGTTATTGGGGTCGGGGAAGGGGGCAGCGCCCTCCACGTGGGTCGGGTGGGGCTCCGGGGCGCTGCGAGCCAGCAGCATGGTGTCGTGCCGCGTGTCCAGCTCGATTGGGCCCTCGCCGCTGACCGTGTCCCCCTCCAGCTCCTCCAACTGACGAACTGGAACCCGAGGCCTCTTTGGGAGGTCTTCGACAACAGGTTCTGGTTTCTTCTCCAGTGTAGGAGCAGACGAGGGTGTTGGCGTGAGGTTGGGGACTCCCGCTGGGAAGACACCCCGGAGCCCGTCTATCTGCCTCTCAGGATTTTCGTTGGCAACGGGATCTGGTTTCAGTGTAAACTCAAATGAAGGTGTTGGCTGCTGGGATTGCCCTCCTGGCACCTGGGGCCAGTCTATCCGCCTCTCAGGAAGGTCGTTGACTGTGGGATACGGGTTCTCCTGCTTTGTGGGTTTGGATGATGGAACTGGCACGAGGCCGGGGCGAGGCAAGACATCCTTTCCTGGAAAGACACCATGGGGTTGCCCCCCTGGCACCTGGAACCATTCTGTTTGCTTTTCAATAAGGTCGTTGGCAAGAGCATCCAGTTTCTTATTCAATGTAGGAGTGTTTGAGGGTGATGGCTTTCGGCTTTGGCTAGGCAAGACGTCCCCAGGAGGGACGCCTTGGTGTTGCCCCCCTGGCATCTGGAGTGAGACTCTCTGCTTCCCATTAAGGTCATTGACAACGGGATCTTGTTTCTTCGGCGGTGGAGGTGTTGGCATTTGGCTGGGGATGGGAAAGATGCCCCTGGCAAGGGCGCCCCCTGGAGGGACGACCTGGGGTTGCAGCTCTGGTTGCCGGGGTCGGTCTGTTTGCCTCTTGGACAGGTCATTGACAACAGGATCCGGTTTTCTCTGCGGTGAAGGCTCGGTTGAAGGTGTTGGCAAGAGGCTGGAGGTGGGTAAGATGACCTCGGAAAGGACGCCCACAAGAAAGGCACCCCGGGGATGGACTGTGCTCCTCTCGGGAAGGTCGTTGACAACGTAATCTGGTTCCTTCTGTAGTGAGGGCGCGGATAAAGGTGTTGTCGTGAGGCTGGGTATGAAGACCCCGGGAAGGTCGCCCCTAGACCAGGCGCCCCCCGGCCAGACATCCCCAGCCTCTACTCCGCTGCCAGCTTCAAAGGCTCCGCCCCCAGAGCCCAGCTCATCCGGGGCAGAGTCGTCGATCACCAGCGTCAGGCGGGATTGGTTGAAAATGGGCGACAATGCAAAGACGCGGTCCACATCTTTGCGGAAATTGGCCCAGTCATCCGGTCCCGGGCTGTAGTCGGGCCTCCAGTCATAAAGGCTTTCGTTGATGCTGTACAGATCCTCCAGTCCCTGCCAATTGACGTCCTCGTCCGTCAGGTTTGGCAGTTTAACCCTGTCGTCCATCCCAGAGTGCACTGAAGGAGAAACCAGAGCACATTTGAGGGCCTACGGAACAGAACCGGAATGTTTTTTTGTTTTGGACAAAGCTCCAGCGTCATGCATTCGGTTAAAGAGTGCAAACGCATGCCACCGGCGCTGCCGCCACGGAGCGTAGAGGAAACGTTCAAGCGATAATCCACCGCAAAAACAAAGCCACACATGAAAAGTGGAAAAAAAATGCACGGACGGCAACCTGGAATTAAAACCAACAGAGAAAAAAAAAAGAAAATGTATAAAAAGCAAATAAAGCAGCAGTATGCAAGACAGAAAGCAAAAACGTCCAATTGAAGCTTCCTGGAAAAATAAATGCGCTCATAATAATGACTTTTGGTTTTGTTTGTGTTGTGAGACAGGACTGGTCGACTCACAGGAAAGAAAGGATTGGTCTCCTCTTTGAGCGCTTTCGGTGTTGCTGTCGCCTGGTAAGCGACAAACATGTGTCAAACAGAAATTCACGCTATGGATGACATGACGATGGCGATGCTATGATTACGATGATGGTGGACATCAAAGGAATAGTTTGACATTTTATTTGTGTTCTCCTGCATTCCACGGTTGAAGCTGCTCGACCAATGACACCGCAGCCAAGTGGAGACTGCGGAGTCTAACACTACTTCACGCAAGCTAATCTAATGTTAGCATGTCCATTTATTTTTTTTGCCACGTATCCTCATTTCATTCGCAAATCCTACAATGACACTCAACCAATTAGCAAGCAAGAGAAAATGGGGTACTACAGCCAAGTGGAGACTGCGGAGTCTAACACTGCTTCACTTTGGCTAATGTTATCACGTGCGTTTCTTGGTCATTTCCAGCCATGTATTGTCAAATGTTCTATGACACTTAATCCATGAGTGACCGCACTGATTTCACCTGAGAGGAGTGTGTGAGCAGCAAGAACAGAGCGCTGCAGCCAAACAGAGACTGCGGAGTCAAATATTTTGACATCCAGGGCAAGTTAACATTAGCATGCTTGTTTGTTTGTTTTGACATTTCTAGCCAAGTATCCTCAAATGTTAGAATGATGCTAGACTGCTCTAATGAGCAACATGGAGAAAAAGGAACGATGCAGCCAAGTGGAGACTGCGGAGTACATTAGCATGTGTGGTGACCCCTGTCTCATTTAACCACACAATAATGACACGCGATCAATGAGCGACTATGCAGACTTTGTCCGAGAGTTAACTATGTACAGCTTGAAAATGGAGTGATGCAGCCAAGATGAGATTGCGGAGTATGATTTTTGCAGCAAGTTAACAGCATGTGCTTATTTTTGTCATTTCTAGCCATGTATCCGCCAAATTTCCAATGAAATTCACCCAATTAGCAACTGAGAAAAAAAAAAACGGAGTGCTGCAGCCAAGTGGAGACTACGGAGCCCGATGCTTACAGTATCCAGGATAAGCAAAAGTTTTACCATTTCCAGGGTAAGATAACATTAGCATGTGTGTTAACTTTTGTCAGTTCAAGTCGCGTGTCCTCAAATCCTCAACAACAGGAGCGCTGCAGCCAAGCAGAGACTGTGAGGTCCAATACTTAGGTACTGTGTTCAAGTATTTTTTAAAAATCCATATGTCAAACTATCCCCTGGAAGTGTGGAGGATGATGGTATGATATCATGCATGCCATGTAATGGACGTGCACTAAAATGGCCGACACAGACCGTGATCATGCGCTCCCGGAAAGAAGTCGAGAGTGCTCGCGGCTCTGAAAAGAAAACGACGGCAACCCGACAGGACGAACGAAGCTGCCTCGACAGGCAAGAAAAAAATTGCGTCCGGATCACGTCAAACATTAGCGCCTTCCCCCATGCACGCTGGCAAACATCATGGGTGGATTAGTGCGAAGGAGAGGCCCATGCAGGTGTTAACGGAACCAGAGAAGAGGCAAAAAATTAAAATTAAAAAAAAAAAAAAAAAAAAAAAGCCACAGAAGAGAGAAAAATGTTTGGATACCTGTGTGGCTCATAGGTGCCTCCATCTTTACCTCCTGATCAGGAACATAAAAGCAATCCATTGTTAATCATCCGATTCAAAGAGGACGCCGACGGGAAAGAGATTCATTCACACAGAAACGAGAGATGATCATGCGGAAAATGAAGGAAGGGAAGTCGGCGCTGTTGCCACCAGGGGGCAGTAGAACACAAGCATGCCGGAATTCTGTTCGTTCTTTGCAGAGGATCAAAAACTCCGCATGTGAGTATTATTTTTTTATCTTTCTGCATGTTTTACACAGTTGTTTCTGTTCACATACCCATTCCTTAAAGGGTCACGATACCCGCGACCATCAATGCTAGTTTTGTCAGTCGGCTGGTTGTTCTTTATGACTCTTTTGCAGAAAAATCCAGGCTCGAGGTGGAAATAAGACAGTGAGGCATGAACTCACTTCTGTTTTGACACCATTTCAGTGGTTTAAAAAGAAGAGTCAGGCACATGTAGAACTCAGAGGAGGAAGAAGGTCTAGTGTGTGTGTGTGTGTGTGTGTGTGTGTGTGTGTGTGTGTGTGTGCGCGCAAAATCAAACATCAGAACACGCATCCACGTCGCCATCGATCATCATTCCAAGTACAATCGTGCGGCATGCCGAGATGTGCGTCGCCCTTTTTTTTTTTTGAAACTCAACCTTTTGACGCGGGGAGAACGTTTTTGAGTCAGTGTCGTCATAGCGACCGCGAGCGAGCGTGAGTGCTGGCGTACCCGCGTCCGAGCCTTTGGGTCTGGGGTTGCACTGCTTGAAACCTTGGCAGCTCCTCATTTCCATCAGCTGGCCGTGAAGGGAATTCAAGATGTCGCGATCCACCTCATACACGCCGTTGGTCAGCTGGAAATAACACGCGCGTGGTTGATTCGTTGTTATTTTGCTAGCTGGGGGTCCACACCACCCCCATAATACACACACACATATACATAATACAAAAATTGCAAGATTCTGTATATGAGAAGGAGGGTGTTGATAATTATGTGCTCGACCGATTGGTGTCCCACCTGGTAGGGATCGCTGTTGAGGTCAAAATACTCCAGGAAGCCGGTGGAGAACTCGCAGAAGAGTGTGTTGTGCGTCTCATTGATGGTCCTCAGGCACCAGTAGGTGTTGTTGTTGGAGCTGGTGCAAGCGCAGAAGCCGCCCACTGCAAAAAGAAACCAAAAGATGATTTCAATTGCGCAGGGCGAGAAACGATCACATGACAATAAATCGTCGTACGAGTAGCAAAGGTGCAAGGCGGAAATGAGTCTTGTGTGTAGTAGACATACGTGACCAGAAGGGGGCGGTCTGCCAGTGGTCATTGTTGTGGGTGAAGCAGGTGAGGCCCGGCAGGCTGCAGTCGTCGCCCTTCCTCAGACGCTTCTTCTCCTTGCGTTCCTTTTTGCGGCGGCGGATCTCGTTGTACAGCTGCGCCTTGCCGTCCAACTCGTGTGCCGACTCCCTGAGTTCATAAAAAAAAAAAAAAAAAAAAAAAAAAAGTTTGCGTCACCGTCAACGGGATGAAAATACACTGTTTGTTGTCAGTGTTAGGAAGTTGTTGAATGAATCCTTTGCTATGCTGCTTAAAAAGATTTTTTTTTTGGTGCATGTTTCACTAAAATAAGCTTTAGCACGTTTCTCTGTAATTTTCGGTCAAAACTCCCGAGACAATGCGCTGCTTTGCTTCCTCTGGTCCATGTTTAGCGTTAGACACATCAGGTCACCAAATTGCACAGTGACGACTTGTCAGCCTTGAAATAGGATGACTGGCGGATTAAAAATGTAAAAACAATTAACGGTTAAGGATTACGAGATGCCAACTATCAGCGCTAATCGTCAACACATTACGGTGCTTTTCCATGATTAGGTGTTAGCGATTGGAATGCACAACTTGTAATTAGTACATTTTTTACTTTGATTTAAGCAGAGTTAAATCAGTTTACCTACTAGAGTATTTTTTTTGACTCAAGTATCTGTATTTCGATTTAGCAAGAACTTTTTCCACGTTTGGTTGTCGTCCGTTCTCATTCCAGCCCAGCGACTACACAACAGCTGCTTCGTGTTGCCGTAATCCATTTCCAATGTCTCTGTTGCAACGTTTTGTGTGAATCATCACGTCTTTGCATGCAACCTGATCAGTTCCAGACGAAGGAAGAAAAAAAAAAAAGCCCTGTAATTTGCTTTGTCATTTTGACTTCTTATAAAACTAAAAAAACAAAACAAGGGTCTGGATGATAGGCTTGTCTGTAAATTTATTACTGTCCAACATGACATTGTTATTATTTTTCCTGATTTCATTACGTTTTCCTTCTCTCGTCGCTTGTCATTTTTTTGCTTGGAGCTGACTGCGTTTGGTGTGTGAGAAATTGGAGAGTTTTTAAAGACGGATCAAATTTAAGATCTCTACATTATTAAATGTGACACACGAGGAGTGGGAAATGTGGGCTCAATTTTAATAGCTTTTGTAATAAAAATTTGAAAATTGGTATTTGATATCTTGAGGGTGTTTACAGATTTGAGGCCGCCAAATCGAACTTTATGAGTCACTTGAATACAGGGGCGTGCAGAGGGTGGGAACAAAGGTCCACCGCAGAGCAAGTCGGATTTTAAACTAGGGTTCGGATCTCAAAGTAGCGTTTAGTGTTTTTCGAATTTGGAATTCTAACCAGGGATATGCAGAGGGTGGGACCAAGAGGGGCAGCATGCACCTGAGAGGGCCATTCACAGCAACGCCCACCTACCCCCGGCAATCGACATTTTCTATGACATGTTCGTCTCCGATCATCGATGAAGGGGCTTCCTATTGTCATTGATGAAAAGTGACGCTAGTTTGAAACACCAGCCCCACTTTGAAACTCCAAACCCCTCTTTGAAACCGGATCTTCGGAGGCCCTTTTGTGAACCAAAAACTCACTTAAACGGATGCAGTTGATTGTTCCTGTTCTTCACTCTCTCCGCCTTGCTTCTGTCCCCTTTGCTGTAAAAACTGGTGGAACAAACACACACGACGTCATGATCGTATTTGGGTTACAGACGCAAACCAACGCCGTTGGCACGCTAACAGTTAGCATTGATAGTTGCGGTTTTAGAAACAATGGATATTTGAAGAATATATATAACAACACTCGGGCATATATTCTTTGTCCTCTATGAAGAATAACTACTAAGACAGCATTCTACTGAGGGACTATTCTTCTTCGTTTGTTTCTATATGACTGTACAGTATTAAATTGCACCCCAGTTGCCAAGGCCAGAAAGATTTTTATTTCATTGCATTTTTTTTTTCGTGAGGGAGGAACCTCTCAAGGCACTTTTGTACGGCTTAAGATTTTTTGGGTACCTTTTTTTCCCACAGTCACACTCGTCTGGCCGCGTCCTCTTCAAGTGGCCTCGGACTTCCCTCAGATTTTTGATTTTGTCTTGAAGTGCTTCAATCTGACAACATTTTTTTTTTTTCAATCGCCATTTAGTGACATGTCTGTACAATATGTATTGCATCGCGCGTGTGGTCTCAACGCACCTCTTGGTCCACGTAGCTCTTGTGGTCTTTCCAGGCTCTGGACGACTGGTAGATTTCCCTCTCACAGTGGACCGAGTCGTTCATCAGGATGTAACACTTGTGGGTGACCTTGAGGGACTTGGGGTACCCAACCGTATTGGTGTCGTCCGCCAGCATCTCCTCGGAGCCGTCATACGAGCCCGAGTCGAAGTCCAGGTCGTCTGTGGGGGCGGGGTGGCGCTTGGTGACGGCGCGGCGGCGTACGGCACTCTGGTCGTCCGCCGCCTGCAGGTCCACATCGTAGATCTGGCCCTCGAATTCCACTGAGAGAGACCTGGTGGGCCGCGTGTGGACGAAACGTGGACGATAACCTAGCAAAATATCAACAAACTGTTAACAATCTTGTTTTATCCTGCGCAACTTTTGGGACACTTGTTGTAGTATTTTTTTTTTTCCCACCTGCAAAATTTATTCTTAACTTGTGCTTAAACTTTTGGTTTCTGGATGATTTTCTTATTTGCACTCACGGTGGCCAGGGGAAGTCTGCCGGTGTGAGCGACGTTCCATCCTCGAGGCCTTGTAGAGTGCGTCAGTGCAGTCGCAGCCCCTCTCGTGGGTGTCGTAGCCGCCGCGGGGCCTCAGGCTGCGGGCCCGCTTGCGGGGGCCATCCTTGGAGCCGCCCTTGCACTTCTGGATCCTCCACTTGCCCGTGATCTCCTCCACGCAGTGCCACTTCTAAGATGCAATCATCGGGAGAAATGAGCTCATCCGCCGGCACTCGTAACACATCCCGACCACACAAAATGAATCGGATCTGCCAGAGGAGCCTCTGTTTTTTTTTTGTTTTGTTTTGTTTTGTTTTGTTTGCGCATACCGATCACACTCGTGGGTCGGTTCGGGTCCTTGCCAAAGTGCGTCAGCGTATAATTACACACTGACGCCCTCTCTTTCTCTCGCACATTCTCTTTCTCTACAAGCGTGATGAAGTCAGTTCAGTGGAGGAATTAAAAAAAAAAAAAAAAGCCTACAAGAGGAAGAGAGACATCTGTTGTGTGGGAACGAGGGCGAAAGCACAAGACCGCAAAAGGTTGATCGGGTTTGCTCTTGGAAGACCCGTATTTGGGGATCTAATGAAAGGACGAGGCGGGGATGAAAACAATCTGTTTTACTTTATCCTTATGCCGAACCTTCACGCCGGAGGTTCAGGAGAGCAGTCAAGCAGGAAGAGGAAGAGGAGGGGGGGCACGGTGGGGATAAGATTGATTGCACCGGCCTCACGCAAATGCGGAAAAGCCGCAACAAAGCTAAACTTTTGAAATAAAGAAAAATAATAAAAAGGTAAAAATAATGTTGTACTTTATAAAAAGGGAGAAGAATAACAATTAAATCGAACGTGAACATTGAAACACAATGTGTGCTCATCATTCAATGCTAACCGTTAGCATGTCATTACAAACATCATTAGAAATGTTGCTTTTCGTCGTCTGATGAATCGGTTATTAGAATTTTATTCTGGGCGGCCCGGTAGTCCAGTGGTTAGCGTGTCGACCTCACAGTGCAGAGCTCCCGGGTTCAATTCCAGCTCCGGCCTCCCTGTGTGGAGTTTGCATGTTCTCCCCGGGCCTGCGTGGCTTTTCTCCGGGTACTCCGGTTTCCTCCCACATTCCAAAAACGTGCACGGCAGGCTGATTGAACACTCGAAATTGTCCCTAGGTGTGAGTGTGAGCGCGGATGGTTGTTCATCTGTGTGTGTTTGCCCTGCGATTGGCTGGCAACCGGTTCAGGGTGTCCCCCGCCGACGGCCCGAGGACGGCTGGGATAGGCTCCCGCACCCCCCGCGACCCTTGTGAGGATTAAGCGGATCCGAAAATTCTGCCAAATATCAAAATAGGCATCGGCCCAAAACAAAAAACAACAACAAAAAAAAAAAATCCACATTTTTCGGGCCTGAATCGTAAACCGAGAATCTACTGAGACATGTGAACAAAGAGGGGAAACTACCTGCCCCGGCTGCTCACACGGCGTCTGGAACTCAGCTTGCTGGCACGTCTCCTTCACTTTCATGTACTTGGGCAGGCTGTTGGTGTGCTGGGTGCTGGCCGAGTCGTCCTTCTTCCTCAGGATCTTCCTGTAACCGGCGAAAACACCATCATCAGTGAAACCAACGCCATCCAGGTTGAGCTAATTTGACAAAAACACCCCCACCCCCGCCCCCTCCCAATATATCTTTCTCTGCTTCTCCACTCAGCTTCGACCTCAGCTTGGCATCATCCCCCACCGCTGCCGTCGCCACAAGACCTGGCTGAGGCTCCCCTCGGGCCCATGCCAACTAAACAACCCCCCCCCCCCCTTTTACTCGACTCCCTTTGCCAACCTGGGCCCCACACACAAGCCACAGACAGAGTGACGGCAACAAATGAGCAACTGAACAACCTGCCCCTTTAAGACCCGGCCAACGCTGTCCTTTGCGATGGCCGTCTGGTGCGCTTTGGGGCATGATGCCAAAAGGGTTGGCACCCCCTAATTCAAGAGCTGTCTTGCCGCTGATAACTAAATTATGAAGTCTATTCTCTGCGCATGTCCCATCAAGTGACAAACGTTGGGTACAGGGAACGGCATGAGCTGCTGCTGCCGCCACACGAGCCCGTGTGCGCGGCTTGCAGATGTTTTGCTGGTCTAAATGAGTGGAAAAAAACAAAGCCAGTGCCAAGGCAGGCAATTTGGAAAAAGTATGGATAAGATATTAGGAGAACGAAGATCTGAGCTCGCGCCGTCTTTTTTCCATCAAATTTGTTTCGTGCCGCCTGTGTGTGTTGTCCAAAGTGGTGGTTGGGTTTGCGAGAAAAGTCCCAAAAGTGCGGTGAGAATCAGAATCAAAGGTGCGATTTGATGTTTTAACCGCACGGCACTTTGAGTTGCATTTTTCATGGATGAAAAGTGCGACGTAAATAAAGCTTGATTGATTGACTGAGTTGAGGTTTTGGTTTCTTATCAGTAGTCATGTAAAGGCCTTCTCAGATTCCAACAAATAAATCACCTTTGTGTCATGTTTATATGGGAACAGGAGGCACGAAATAGTCTCCAGTGAATTGAACAGGAAGTCGACCGTGCGGGTTTGAAGCAGCCATTCTGTACCGTGTGCATCAAATTTTCAGATTTTCTCCAAATTTCCACCGGTGGGGCATTTGTCACCGCATGCGACCCATTTCAGTGGTGCCTCCATTTTTAACATATGAGCATCTCCTCGAAATTATCGTTACCATCAGAGACTTCTAAAACCGCCTGAGGAAACTGTCTGTCAGATAGCACATCACCTGGAAAAGCACATTTGGGGGTTCGCAGAAGTGCTTGGAGACATAATACGGTCTGGAATGATATGGATGTGGTGAAGGGGTTGGGGTGGGGGGGTTGGGTGTGTGGGGAGGAAGAAAAAGCTCCGTTTTACCCTCGCTCGACAAGGAATGTGTCCCTCCAGACTTTGGGTTTCCGGTTTGGTTTGAATCTGGGAAAACAAAGAGGCGTAGAGTAAGTCAGGGGGGTTCCCGCTATCAGATGCAGAATGCAAGGCAAGACGCTTACAAGCATAAAAAGCTTGGGGAGTTCGTTTGACCTTCCAAAATGAATTGCAGCACATTTATTAGACTATATCATTGAAAAAGTGCCCACAATTAAAAGCTCTAATGCAGGGGTGTCAAACTCATTTTTGTCGCGGGCCACATTGTAGTTACGGTTTGCCTTGGAGGGCCGTTTTGAATTACAGCGCACAACAAATTGATGAATAGTTTTAAAATCAGAAGTCAAGAATAATGACTGTTATTGTGGATTGCATATGACAATTTGAAATTTTGGTTCAGAATTTAGCAACTTGAGATGCTTGATTTGCTTTTGCGGGCCACATAAAATGGTGTGGCGGGCCAGATCTGGCCCCCGGGCCTTGACTTTGATACCTGTGATCTAATATGATTGTGACACTGGCATCCTTGCAGAAATCTTTTTTTTTTTCACATTTTATCACACGAACAAAGTCACATTTCTTTGACAACTAAAGGCGTCTTTTTTTTTTTGGGAGGGGGGGAGGGGCAGGCTTGACTTTCTTCCCCCGCGCTAAACCGAGCGGTGCGAGAACCTTTTCTCCAAAGAGACAGCATCTCGCTTTTATTTCTCTGTTTGTTTTCCCCTAATACCACAAAGTAAACTAAGCAGGGTAGCCATTTTCCATTCCTCCCTTAATTGCTGCGGCTTTCTGCTGTCGAGAAACAAATAAATTGCACAGGAAATTGCAGCGGAGCGACCTCAAGCACGTCTCTCACCGAGTGTCCAAACGGCTGAGGCAAAGCAGCCACGGCGCGGCATTTGTGACAAAATTTCAACTCGTGGCGGCATGGTGAGGTCGTGGTTACGTCTGCCGCACGGTTCTGAAGTTCTCGGTGCATAAAACAGTTCTCAAAGATTAAATACAAATACGACTAAATTTAGGGCTACGGCACGCCCGCAACCCTTGTGATGATGGGTGGTGATTCTTTTGCGAACCACTAGAGGGTGCTCACGTGCCACACTTGGATGATCACTGCTCTGAATTGTGCATCTGCATATACGGTCGCGACAAAATGTGATTTTCTTTCTGGCCAAACAAACCTATTGCCGGTCCTTTCCTGCTCCAGTAGCTTAAGGATGGACTTTCCGTCCATGTCAGGGGGCGTGTCCAGCCCGGCAATATGGAGGACAGTCGGCGCGAGGTCGATATTGAGCACCAGATGAGGATTTCTGAAGTACGACAGAAATGACGTGAATTTCTGCAGATTTAAAATCACAAAGAATTTTCGAGCGGCTCCCTTACACAGCGCCGGGTTCCACGTTGGGCCCTCTGAGGAAGAAGGGTACGCGAATGTCGAAGTCGTACGGCATGGACTTGCCTTTGACCAGCCCGAACTGACCGATGTGGTAGCCGTGGTCGGCGGTGTATATGACGTACGTGTTGTCCAGCTCGCCCGTCTCCTCCAGCATCTCGTAAACCTGCACCGCAACGTGAGATGGCGAGGAATGAGACGGTGCGCTTGACACCCAACGGACGCGACATTAGGTCCACCATCGGCACCTTTTGCACGGAGTCATCTACGGACATGAGGGTCTGCAGCCTCTTGCGGTGGAGGAAATTGGTGAACTCCATGTGGATGGGCTTCATGGGGCCCGTGTACTGCATGATCCAGTGCTTGTCCATGTTGGGGGCATAGTTGTAACTGGGCGTGCTGGTGGGGAAACCAGGAAAGTGAGTGTTGGAAACAGTGAGAAATCCTCAACAATTAACGTCTCCTTTTAAAAAAAAAAAAAAAAAAAGTTTAGAATTGCCGATATTAAAACTCATTCAGGACCAGCCAATTGGAGACCAAGTCTGAAAAGACGTTAAAAAACGTCATTGGGAGTGAATGAGTTAATAATATAAACTATGACTTCAAAACACGATCAATTTGAATGGGAATTTAAAAAAAAATGTTTTAAACGCAAACAGATGAATCTGTAAAACGCGCGGGCGGGGGGGGGGGGATTGCTGCTCACGATTGCAAAATCTAACATGCCTAAGCCGCCGAAGCTATAAAATCCATGCGCATATTGTGAAAGATCCCTTTTGTGCGGCGTTTGCGTGCGAGCCTGTTAGAGGCCGTCTGTGGCGGCTCGCTAACAGGTGCCGCACTCGTCCGTCGCGCTTGACAGGCGTCAATAGCGCCTGTGTTTGCCCGGGCAAAACGTCTTGATAGTGCTGTGCCAAGCGGCCGGCCTCTCGCACAGAGACCAGACTCTCCCCTCGCTACGCCGCCGAGCTCTTGGCTCGTTTTGAGGGCTGGCACGCGCTGGCAAAAAAAAAAAAATTCCCCTAAAACGGGGTTGGCATCAACGTCTGGCCCCAGAGGGCTCAATAAGGCACGGCAGAGTGAAAAAATGAGTGCATGAACAGCAATCGGGAGGGAGAACATGAGGGCTGCTGACAGACGCGTCTCACCTGTCTGTGTTGCTACCAAGAGGACGTTGAGTTTGTCATACGGCAAAAATATGTCACACCGAACGCATCGAGTGGAGCGAGACAAACAATGGAGGAGACAAGAGGGTCTCCTCTCGGGAATAAGACTTTTTTACACCAGGGAGGGGGGAAAAAAATGGGAGGCGACTGTGGAATGAAATAGTAAAGCAACAGCTAACGTTAGCGTGGTTGTTTTGACATACATATAATGTCAAGAAATTCATTTTTTTTTTCTTTCAACAATTTTTGCTTCACTGCAATGGACATTGTGCTGCTCCTCATGGTGGCAGCGGCAACGACACAGACATACAGTGGGACGGTCTCAGATGCGTATTAGCCATTCTACGCATAAGATAAAGAATACATGTATGTGATTCGCGTTTCTCGGCACACTAACAACATAACTAATTGCCCCACGGGGATAAATAAAGTTTTCTGAATCTGAATCTGAATAACGGCCGAATTCAATTTTTGGCCAAAGTCAAAGATTTTTGCAGAAAATGAAGCCGATGTTGCAAAAATGCCTCTCTCAAAGACAAAAGGTTATTTACAGAGCACTTTTAGACATGTAACGAAAACAACCCTCCATGTTTCTAGCGCCACCTACACTGCAATTGTAGTCAACATCAGACGAGAGAAACCTTTTGTTCCAAGAACGAAAGTACCAAGAACTAAACGTTCCCGTTTATGCTGCTGCACGAAGAGCGTTCTCTATTTTCCTTTGAAATCAAGCGGCCCACATTCCACTCACGGATGGTTTAATGAAGAGCCGTTACGAGGGCCGCGTTGCTTCTGTGAGCAAGCGTGAACTCTTCACACACGCCACCGGGTGCTCTAATAAGCCCCCAGAACAAAAAGGCACCTGTCTCCGGCCGCCAAGGTACGGTTGGAATCAGGACTACGGAGGTCACACCTGCCGCTCGATGCCCTTGGATAACGCGGAGGCTCATTTCTTGAGATGCGTGACGGATTACAACAGGAACATCCTCTCAAATTTAAAAAAAAAACAAAAAAGTGGGGGGTGCGAGGGGGATTACCGACATTTCCTTGAGCAACACTTAAACTCTATGTCCTTACACTGTTGGGAAAACCACATCCACCGTGGTTAAACCAAAAGGAATGTTAATCGCATTAATAAAACACATCCAACGACAAGCGTAGCCGTCTAAAGTACAGACTTGCGCTTATGATTTACGAGGCGACTCCACCTACGCCTGCCACCTCGGCTCTTGATGCATTCGGAATGACGGCTGCTTTCATGGCATCCAATGCCAGGCAGAGCCTCTTCTCACGACAACCTTGTTGCCCGAACCCTCAAAACACAAACAAACAAGATGCTGGATGGAGCGGTGGTTGTTTTCAAGTCCTCTGTCAAAAAAGTTGAGTCGAGTCGAAATGTGTGCCTGATTTTTCATGACCAGCATTTTGTGGGTTCCATGTCGGTGGCAGATTTTTTTTTTTTTTTTTTTTTTACACATGATGACATGAGACAAAAAAAAAATTACATTCAAACATTGCTGCCCCCGCAAATAACAGGCAATTTTTGCCATGTTTTTCCCTGTTGTAAAGCTAAATAAATACTAAAGGACAAGGTATGTAAAACAGTCAAATTTCTGCCTAAAATTCAGATCTTTTTCTTCTCGGCCAAAAGTTGTTTTTTTTTTAATTTATCTATTAACCCTTTCATGCATCCTGTAACCTGATAACATGATAAGCTGTCCACTATCGTAACTGCTGTCCCTGAAAGGGTTAATTAACATCAGCATTTTACTCGCAAATGGCAAAGACCGCAAGAAACCCACTCTGGCTTTTGTAATCATCGTGCAAAAAATTTTGAAAATAGTCCAAAATAAATTCAAAATCTAAAGCTTTTATCGGCGACAGTGACTTTCTTAACCTGGACATGACTCCGCTTTGCTGCGCCCTGATTTAAGCTCTCGTCTGTATCCAACCAAAGAAGGAAGCGCAAATCCATTTCGGGTGTGTAACCGCCACCAAAACATCACACGCACAATCCGCCTTTGGTCATCCAGGGAGTGAGGTGGGGGAGGGGGGTGGGCAGGGTGGCGCTAAAAATAAATGAATAATGTCACAAAGGGTGTTCTCCGCGGCACACAATGCATTCCTCTGGTCCCCGAGATGCGCGGGGAGCGAGAGAAAGCACTGATTGATATGGACAGGGTCAGGAAGTCCCATGTGAGGGGAGGGCAGAAAACTAAGAAAGAAAGTTGGAAAACCAGAGGGAGGGAGGGCGGGGAGGGATGTCGGGCCTGAATGGAGCGACAGAGCCGTAGAGCAAACAGGCAGGCGGGAGGGAATGTCGAGTGGGGTAAGTGACGGTGAGGGTGAAAGTGGGACGCTGGGAAACGGACAGGAGAAACTTTTCGGATGCAGCCTGGGAGCGCGTTACAGGGACCCGAAGGGAGGCGGGAGGCCAATGTGAGCCGCCGAGCTTGACTTCCCACAAGTGTCATGGCAACCCGGCATCGCTAGGAAACCAAAGGAGTGTGGCCCGAGTGTTAGCATGTTATTGCTGTCAGGTTGAGTGAGGTACAGCAAGCCCCCCACCTATTTGCAGTTTGGCAGTCTTTTGTGGGGTACCTATCCTTTGTGGGGGTTTTTTGTTTGCTTTGTTTTTTCGGGAAATAACGCCTATTCACAGTTGGTTTGTTTTTTTTTTGTTTTTTTTGCTGGGACCAAAGTCATGTTTCATATTAAAACATTGGAACATTGGAAAATAAGGGACAGGCAAACACATTCCAGACATTCTGTTAGAGCAATTTTGAGGCCTCTCTGAGTAAAAGAGAATTTGCTGTGATAACGAGAGCCGATATATGGTTACTTTGTTTTAATGTTAAGTGATAGGAAATAGACAGACAGAAGGACAGACAGATATAAAGCTGGCTTAGACAAACTGACACACAGACAGACAAGAACGATAAATAGCGAGCTAGCTGAGAAAGATGAGTAGCCAGCTAGTTTGCTAAGATAGACAGACAGACAGACAGTTACATAGATTGACACAGACAGACAAACAGAAAAGATTTATCAATAGCTAGCTAGCAAGATGAATGGCTCAAGAGCTAGCTAATAATAATAATATATAAATAGCTAGCTAAGACATACAGAATCACCGATTTTAGTGCGATGGTTCACTTCAGTTGCATTCGGCCGCATTGTGCCACACCTGGCCATGCAACTAAGATCTTCCACTTCCACTAACAACCCAGGCTAAACTTAGCTCCTCCCCCAACTACAAAGATTGACTTTCAGTTGAGAAACATGACTTCAACATACTTTCTTGGACCAATTACATTTTCCATTTTGTGACATATTTGGGTGCTTTCCGAAACTTCAAATATGTGAATTTTTCGTAAAATTGTTGGGAATACGTTCCAGAGAAAATAGTAAACAAAAAGAACCATTTACCCATACAGTACACATTGCTTTTGGATTTTCTGGTACAATACTCACATGTGCTGGGAGGCGTTGGGGAAAAACTCAGCGTACTGCGGTGCCGAGTCTTCCGGGCCGTGGGGGGCGGCGTGGCTGATGACCATCATCACTGGACGGTGCGGATACATCCTCTTGGACATGCGGAAGAAGTTGATGCTGTCGTTGGTGATCAGGTCGGTGAAGTAGTCCTGTCAAGACAAACCGGGGAAAAGTGTGACACATCTGACCATGCTACGATTGCAGCGGGGTGTTAAAAGGCGGGGTGTGAAGCGGGTTCAGCGAGTACACACGGCAGTTGAGTCAACAGCTGGCAGCGTGCCTGCTTGTATGTGTGTATGTACAGTGTAAGGGTTGTTCCCTTCGTTTGGGTATCCCTGCGCTATTGAACCGCTTGATGGCGGTTAGCCTGCCGCTGGCTCTCCGGGCGCCATTGTTTTTACCGTCACCCATGTTGCTGTGAAAAAAAAACCCAAACAGCTGGACACGGTATCGTCTTCTTTTCAACGTGCCAAGTTTCCGACTGCCTGGCGTATGCCACGTGTAAGGGTGTTAACAGAACGGAAAAAAAAAAAATTGTCCCAAGAAGCGTTTTATAAATAGGCTTCATGCACGTGGATTTTACACAGCCTTCTGCATGTAGATTTGCTCTCACGTGATTCTAAAGTGGTTAACAAAGCATAAAATGGCAGACGATATGGAGATAGACAAATAGTTTAGTTAGTTTATTTAGTTTAACATTAGCCTATACTGTAAAATGAAAACTTTTATCATGTATAATAAATCAGATTATTTATTTCAATACAGATTAATTTATTAGTTGTGTTTATGGAAAAATAGGGGAATTTAATAATCACATTAAATTGCAATCGCAATACTGCTGGTAAAAAAAAACATCACGATTATTCTTCAAAATCATCTGGCCCTAATATAGACTCAAAAAAATGCGTATAAAAGGGTTAATTTCGCAATTCCCACATTAGGGCTGAGGGTGGTTCTGAGTTTACCAGAGTCTCATCAGATCACCATGTTTGAAGAATGCCCCAACAGCGTCTAAAAGGGAGACAGCACGGTTGTCGAGTTTGTGCGAGTTCACGTTTTTTTTTTCATCACCAAATAGGAAATAGAGTGTCCATTTGCTTCTAAAACCACAAACTGCTGACCACGTTGGGAGTCTTGTAAACACCTCCCCGGGCAAACCATGTGCCTCCCGCCGCCGTCTAAACATTTGTTTGCCCTGTCTCTTGCGCAGCCCACCACGAAAAGTTGACAAGCTATAAATCTCCGGCAACTCTGGGAAGATATTGGCACGCCACCGTGAATGCTCACCGACAGCTCTCAGGGAAAACACGCAGGCGAGACGGCGGCATTCCGCCGCAAAAACGGACAGGATCGACCGCGAGCGGGTTCATCTGCGTTGTCGGCTGGCGGGAAAATTCCCTCGCGTTCCTTCCGAGGTGGCGAAAGTACTCAAAGTCTGTACTTAAGTCAAAGTAAAAGTTCTTATTTCTGTATGAGCATCTTGAATATGTTGCGTCGGCATCCGCAGAAGTTGGAAATAGTAACGAGGCTAAACTACGGATGAGAAAGTACAGCTATCTGATTAACATTTAATCAGAAAATGAATAGTCGAGTGACATACAGATACCTGAAAAATCCAATTTACAATCGTACATGAAGTATTTGTTACTCCCCCCCCCACTGCATTCCTTATTTCAGCCTGAACTCAAAGGTGGTGTTTATCGAACCCCACGCCAGCCTCTCATTTGCATGCCTACACATTAACGTAGGCGAGTCGTAATAAAGTCACCCCCTTTAATTCCGCCAGAATTCCTGCGCAGCATTGTGATAAGAGAAGCGACGTCTGCGTTTACAAGCAGGAGGTAAACCTGTCATTTTCTGGAAAACAAACCCGGGAGAGGGATTAACTGTCTCGTTTTTTTTTTTTTTTTTTTTTTTTTTATTGCAGGGTTTAATGGGAAGAAATACCTTGGCGTAATTTGCGCCGTGTTTCTCCTTGTAACCGTTCCGACAGACGGTGTAATTGTAGAAGCGGGAATTTTTGATCAGTCCGACCCACTCGCGCCACCCAGGCGGAATGTAGCTGCCGTTGTACTCGTTGAGATACTTGCCAAAGAAGCCTGCGAAAAGAGAGAGAGAAAACACCAAATTAAAGCATGCGATACGAATTAACTCATTCAGTACCAGCCAATTCTAAACCGAGTCTGAAAAGACGTTTAAAAACGTCTAAGGGAGTGAATGAGTTAAAGTCAGCAAAGGGCTCGATTCAAGATCGTTGATTTTTCTTTCCCAAACCTGCTCAGGAAGCAGTTGGGCTCACAATCGTAAATAGCCTGCTTGCTGAAGGCCCCGAGCGAGCTGCCCGGTGCGATGCCTGCATGTCACTCACGTGAGACACCGTCTGTTGAGGCCAGACAGCGTCCTGGCAGGCGTCACTATGTTTGCATTTCTCACAGCGCACAGACAGCCAGGCAGGCAGCGTGGCGCAGTCCGTGGCTTACGGTAAAAAAAAAAAAAAAAAAAAAAAATGTTACACTGGCGAGCACCGAGTCAATATGTCTGAAACGAGTGGAGCCGCTAATGGATCCAAGGCCGAGGGGTCATCGCGGCGCGTTCCCATCAGCATAGTTCACCGGCAACATGCAGGCTTGATGAGTCCAGTTAGACATTTGTTGCCAACCAAATTCAACTCACTCAGGCGCAAAAATAAACCAACATTGCATTGACAATTCGGAGCAACCTGCGGGCATATATGACCTTTGTACGCATCTTGCCAGGTCATCATGAATGAAGACCCACCTGTCCTGTAGCCGGTGTTGTTGAGATAGACGGCGAAGGAGCGCGGCTCATGCTGGGCCTGCCAGGAGGGCGACGAGCAGTTCTCGTTGTTGGTGTAGGTGTTGTGGTTGTGAACGTACTTGCCCGTCAGCATGGACGAGCGGGACGGGCAGCACATGGGCGTGGTGACGAAGGCGTTGGTGAAGGCGGTGCCGCCTTCCTCCATGATCTTGCGGGTTTTGTTCATGACCTGCAGAGAGCCTGCGAGGGGGGGGCGGGGGGAGGGGAGGGAAACGGTGACCTTTGGAAGAATGGTGGCGAACCCTCTGCTGCAAATGATCGTTTCTCGAAGGGGTTAAATCATTTGAATGCGCACAGATAATTGGACAGATGGCCATTTGCGGCTGGTGTTTAATATTTCATGTGAGGAGGAAAAGCTTCAGTTTGTCCATTGCTTCAGTGCAGATGTTTTTTATTTTATTTTTTTTTAAACAGCGTTTTATGTTAATATGAATAATGTACCATTCTGAAAATATGCATAACATGCATAAAAATGCAACACACTAATATCGTGAATCCACCTTACCCAGTTCCACATCCTGGTCGTCAGTCATGATGAGGACGATGTTGGGCCGGATGTTCCGGCGGTCCCTCTGGATGCGGCCCCTGAGGCCCTGAGCCCGGGTGGTGGCGTAGCCCGAGACACTCGAAGCCCAGGCCAGAGACGAGAGGAGAGCCAAGCAGGACAGCCACCGTGGCTGCATTTTTTTTTTTTTTTTTTTTTTGAATGTTTGGGGAGCGGTTCGTCAAATTGAAGGGAGGGAGGTCCACCCCGAGCCGCTCACTTGGACCCTCCTGCGGTCAACTGTGAAGAAACATACGGACAGAAGAGAATAGAATCAACCTATCAATAAACACCATCCATGAAGATATGAATAGAAACAAAAGCAGCAAGAATAGTCATCAGCATTATAATAACGAGTGTACTCCCAATACTCTCCCTCACAACGGCTCTGAAACGTCTGATTGATTTTCTGACCTGACAAACATGACGAGGATGCAGAAAAACAGACCTCGCCTCCGAGGATTCCATCACACTCATGAACTCGCGTCCTTTCCGATCACGAGCTCACATCGCGTTCCTTTGGTGAAGCGACAAACACGCGGAAACAAATCCATCGCTACCGCAGGGAGACGTCCGCCTGACCGAGCTCAGCCAGGGCCATTGGCCCGCTCGCGCTCACGAGCCCTTCTCCTACGTCGGCCAATTGTGGAACACTTACTGCCCATTGCTCAAACCCCCCCCCCCTACCCCCCACCCCTTCTTCCTCCCACGCGATGAGTCAAGCGTGACAGAGGAGGGAGGATGAGACCACACGAGGGGAGGAGGAGAACGCGGCATTTAGGGGCAGCGAGGGCAGTGAGAGGGTTCCGCTACATTAACCTCGCCGCCGCAGTCGCCAATCACAGATAACCAGCAGCAATTCGCAGCCTCTCGTGCTGTCGAGGCCCCTATAGCCTGCCCCTTCACAACACAGCGGCGGCTTACCAGAATAAAACGGATGACTCCGAAAGCTTGAGGGGAATACATTTATCCTAATAAAGAGACGGGAATTGGCTTGCACATCAAGATAAATAGCCTTTGGCACAAAGGTGGTCTTGTGGGTAGGAGGAGAGACGCTGCCCTGTGCTGCTTTTCGATTCACAATTAATGAGCTCAAAACGAAATGGCATATCTATGTGACACCTGAGTCTTGTCGAGCGCTACCGGCTGGCTCCACCCCTTGATGCATGTTGCCAAGACGATGTACTTCCTTGAGGGCTGGGGTGAAGAAAGCTTTCCCAATCAGGGTCCATTTCGATTCTTCTAAAGTCGTCGGAGGGCCTGATTCATGCATGCCCCCCCCACCCCCCAAATATTAACTCGAAATATCAGCCCCTTAAGCCGGTTTCACTTCGCAACATGAAATATATTTGGTAAATCCATCATGATATGACCCACAAAAAGTCACAGGAAACCATGCGCAAAAAACACAGCAGGTTTGCCATTTTGGCTCAAAGCAGCTATATTAAGATAGTTTTGGGTCGTTTTCAGTTGCGGCCTTCGTCACAGAACATTCGGCCTCCAAAAGCCACTGTCTTGCGGGAATATGAAATATGCCAGGTACATTTTTCAAGACAAGACCCACAAAAAATGTCTCAGGAATCCATGCGCGAGAAGACATAGGGAGTCTGTCGTTTTGGCTCAAAGCAGCCATTCAAGGTTCATTTTGGCGTTTCCAAGTAAATGTCAAGGAAATTTCAGCCCACAAAGCCAGTTTTTCTTCGGGATAAGAAATTTGGCAGGTACATCCATTATGACAAGACCCACCAAAAAAAAAAAAAAAAATCCTGAACCCGTGGGAAAAGAAATTTGGAAGGTACATCCATTTTGACAAGACCCACCAAAAAAAAAAAAAATCCTGAACCCATGGGATAAGAAATTTGGCAGATACATCCATTATGACAAGACCCCCACAAAATAAATCAATCAATCAATCCTGATCCCATGCAAGCTCCGCGTGGACATTTTAGGGTCATTTTTGGCTATTTCTTAGCCCACGGGCCTTAGGCTCCCAGACCGTTTTAGGGAGTCCAAACGGTTTCCTCCAATAAGTCACTATTGTTATGACACTTGGCTCCCAATGCAGGATCCTATGAAAATGTTTAAACGGCGAATTGCAAATGATCTTCTCATCAATTCACCTATATCGGCAGATGTAATCCACCCAGACTGGAATCACTCCCTAGAAATGCATCAACAACTCCACTTTGTGTGCGCGGCCGGCTAACGTGACGAAATGTGCTTGTTCTTGGCGTGCCGTCGCGCGGGCGTGCCTGCTTCTCGTCCGGCGATATGACAAGACGTGCGATAATCTGCGCTTTAAGAGCACTTTGCGCCTGGTCCCAACGTTCCAGATGAGACAGCCAGCCCCAGTCATCGTGACAGCCCTGTACAAACATTGGCGCCGCGTGGACAAACACCCCCTCCGGTGCACAGAACCAACCTCACATTGAATCACAAGCGCGCGCACACACACACACACACACACACACACACACACACACACACACACACACACACACACACACACACACATACCTCTGTGACACGCAGAAACTCTTTAACACACTTTCTCGCAATAAAACACATACTCCTGCGGTGGAGGCGGGGGTTCAACTGCAACGCTTCCCAGAAACAATGACTCTGCACAAAAACAAAAATGTCACTTATCTATTTCTGTCCAACTGTGAACGACCTGAAACCAACTGTCAGCCAGGCATGCAATGAAATGGAAAAAAAAAAAATCTTTAAACAATGAGACTCCACTAAATCACATTTATAATCTAAATTCTACATTGAAATATTTGTCCTAAGAAACGGGATTAATGGATTCTCAGAGGTCTATTTCGAAAATTTAGTAGCATCTTGGAGGCTCTGCAGTACTTGCATGTGGACGTGAGATTATTTTCTGACCAATCAGATTTCAGCCTCAATGTGTTGCTATGTCCATGAAATCTGCCCAGAGAAACATAAAAGAGATTGCAGAAAATGCACGACTGCGAGAGTCACTTCGTGCTAATTAAAACTCATTCAGTCCCAGCCAATTCTGGACCAAGTCTGAAAAGACGTTTAAAAACGTCTTTGGGAGTGAATGAGTTAAAATGAGGACCGGACGCGTCATTGTGGAATCTGCCACAAATCCCGCCGTACCGATACGTTCTGCTAAAATGCTATCCGTAGCGCCGCTGTCCGGATCGAGCGAGGTGCCAGTCACGCGGGCTGCCGCGGATCCCCTTGAACTGTACGTCACCTCCCATCCTCGGCTTCACTCCATTCCGCGCTCGCTGGTTTGGCGCTAACAGCTCCCAGCTCCCCGTTTGCCAATGGTGCTACTAGGTCACCGGATTGATTTGGAGGGGATCCCCCTCCCCCCCGCCTTCCTAGAATGGTGTTCTCATGCGGACACAGAATTTCTCCAGTGAAGAGAGGAAATCGTTACATGTTGGCTTCGAAATCATCTCCGAGACTTTTTGACAAACCTCTCCAAAAATATGATTTAAAACACATGCGGCCAAATGCACTAACGTCCCCTGATGTGTTTCTGTCATTTTCATAAATTCTCTGTTATATAAAATAGTTACGTGAAGCCAGGATGGCGTCAGCATAAAATTTGGGAGGCACCAAACATAGGTAGGCTGTCCCAACAGAGGACATTTTAGAGATGCCCTGGATTTGCTGTAGAGCAGGAAATGAATTGCTTCCGATAGAAATTTCTTAACTTGAACATTTTGTAAGTAGAGACGCATTTTCCATGTAAATACCCTAATCCGTTCCAACCCCCCCCAAAATTCAGACCTAAATGTTTTCAAAAGCGCAAAGGCTGTGACCAAAGTAACTTCTCACACCCTCAGCGCCCAACGTTCCTTTCACAATACATTTTTATGCGACGCTTTCACTTTATCCGTGACGGCGATGCGCTTTGTGCGCCGAACTGAAGAGACTGCTTTTTGACCGGCTTGGCAGTCCATGCTCTCCGGTTTTTGGGGGCCTCAAGCCACACGCTCTGACCGTGCCCTGACCCAAGCGGTAAAATGGTTTCGATGGCGGCTTGTTTAACCCAACCTCAGCAACCTGAGGCTACCCACACGCACACATACTCTGCGGGTTACAAGGGAAAAGGGGGGGGGGGGAGTCACAAAGGTAACAAAAGTCACGTCAAAATCTGGTTGTGATTGGCTCGCATATTCATTTCAACAACGGCCAAGAGGCTGCATCTGGCTCGGGTTCTGTTCGGTCCGCACATTTATCAGCTGTCACTGAAAAACAGCAGATGGACTGAGGAGACAAATAAGCCGATGCTTTTGCTCCGACACACGGTGGGAAATTGATCCAGGTATCCTCCCCCCCTGGCCCCTCTACACCCCACTTTAAGTATCCACGAAGTCTGGCCAAAAGGCTGGATCTTGTTCACATTAACATGAAGAGGGCGGGAGAGGTGAGGAGGTTCACGTTCCCACAACAAGATGCGAGGCAAAACCCAAACCAGATGCCACGCCGCTCGGAAATAAATCAGTCAACTGGTGACTAAGAACAATGGCCATTTCAGTTGCACCCAAAATCCCTTCAAATCTTAATCCGGTCCGTCCGTCCGGCTCCGGGACAAAACGCCGGGACATACTGCCGCACATTCTGATTTCACCCTTTCGCTCTCGTCGGGGGGGAAAATGATTATGGGAAGGCCTTATGTTAACATTGAGGCTTGTCCAAATATTTCTGTAATCCCAGGGAATTTGGCTGGTCGGCTGCCACGAGGACTGACGAGGGCCTATTTACACTGAGGAGCGCCTGTGTCGGGGTCCGCCGCCAATGCCAGGCCAAGGCTCACGTCGCTCCACCGCGGCCGCTCAGGCCTGCCCATTCGAGGCGCTGAGCACCTTGAAGGAGAGCTGTGTCCTCACATTGGCCGCGGGATTTCACTGGGATATGGCTCAAACCTGTGTGTTCTCACACCCTTAAGTCTGATGATTTGCTTGACCAAAATCCACTGGTGCGAAGTATTTGTACTTTGTCACTGCACCTTCCAAAAAAAAAAGTTTTCTGTCAAACTAAACTTCAAACAAAGAGAATGTCACCTTATGTATTTCAAGAAAACAAATAGAGCGGCACCTCTACTTACGAAATGAATCGGTTCTGGAAGAAATTTCGGAACGAGAACATTTTATAAGTAGAGACGCGTTGTCAATGGAAATGCCCTAATCCGTTCCAAGCGCCACCAAAATTCTGACATAAATGCCTTCCAAAGCATAAAAATGCATTAATAC